GTCCAAGCTGTCCTGATCAACCTCAACTTTGCAGAGAATGTTTTAATGTTATACACTGCGAATAATTTTTTTAATAAACCATTTTTATAAGAATTCAATAGTTTCATTACCCCCTGTAGAATATTTGTCGAAATATTTTCGGAAATCCTTTGTAAGTAGTCAAATCAGCGTCACCCGAATTACGGGTGACGTGGCCTGATGAGAACTTTTGCTGTCACCCGAATACGGGTGACGCGGCAGTCAACGTGTTAAATAATTTTCAAATAGATCGCAACAGATCGTTAAAATAATTGTAGCGCGTCCAATATTTCGGAGATTTCTCTATTTTAATATTACCGTAGTAGCCTCTCGAGGGCGAAACAGAAGCCAGTTTGTATCGTTTCTTGCGCAACGGTGCGAACCGCGGGGTACTAATTGCCTCGCGATCGGAACACAATGTAATATTGCCCGTGCGCCGCGGGGGAGGGCAAGAAACCGACCGGAGGAGTCAAACAGTAGCGTGAAAGCTCGTCGCAAGAAACAAGGACGAAGAACTCTCTAGGGAAAGATAAACTCCTTTCGCGAGACTTCCTTCTCGGTGTTACTAACGACTAATATTTACTGGCAATTGCTTCTCGGTTGCATCGGCGAACAATTACTGCAAGAAATCGGTTAACTTCGAAGTACAATGATACGCCGCGTTCTGTGCACTTCGAGTCGTCATTTTAAGAGCGCTGAAATAAATTCAATGCAATATGAAGCGGATAGTAGGTTAAGATACGCAGTTCAGTAAAGCACCGTAGTATTGTACGCACATAGTAAAAAGCTATGCCCCAAATACTGTGTTAGTAAATAATATTTGAGCCGTTTATTTTGAAAGTGGCATAAGTCACTTTTTTTTATATTGAAAGATACCGTTCAGTTGTAATTAGTGTTACCATTAACTCGATTTTTTTGAAAAAGTGACTTATGCCACTTGCAAAATAAACGGCTCATTTGAGGATAGATGATAGTGACGGTGTATGTCGATTTTTGTTGTCAAAGTAACGATTGCTTCATCTAAAAATAACGCTAAAATGAATTGTTTATTATTAATCGTCAACATATAAATGCCTGAATCAGCGTATTGCCATTATGAGTATTTCATAAGACTCAATGTTTTCATAAGCTTCCGAATATCAAAAGTAAATAAGTGAATTAAAATTGCGATTGCCGTTATTTATATGTCATAAATTATCAATATTAAACATATAACAAATTATGAAATTAATTTTTAGGAGATTACACTATGAAATGTTAGATTTACTTTTCTAAAATACCGCAGTATTTGTCCGCAATAATATCCACACTTACCCTATCACGATCTGCATTCGTATTCTGGCGAGCAGAAGAATAATTATAATTAGCGTTTGGCTCGTGAACGTTTTGTTGAAACAGTCGGAATAAAAAAGTAACATTATTTTGCACTTTTTCAAATGGTTCGATAAATAATGTGAGTTAAATATATTTATTGAAAATTTCGACTACCAACTCAGTTAATAATGACAATAATTTTCTGGCGAGCAGAAGAATAATTATAATTAGCGTTTGGCTCGTGAACGTTTTGTTGAAACAGTCGGAATAAAAAAGTAACATTATTTTGCACTTTTTCAAATGGTTCGATAAATAATGTGAGTTAAATATATTTATTGAAAATTTCGACTACCAACTCAGTTAATAATGACAATAATTTTCTGGCGAGCAGAAGAATAATTATAATTAGCGTTTGGCTCGTGAACGTTTTGTTGAAACAGTCGGAATAAAAAAGTAACATTATTTTGCACTTTTTCAAATGGTTCGATAAATAATGTGAATTAAAAGTATTCATTGAAAATTTCGACTACCAACTCAGTTAATAATGACAATAATTTTTTGGAGATCAGAAGAATAATTATAATTAGCATCTGTCTCGCGAGTCTGTTTAAAGTGAATAAAACTAAGAAAGCAGTAACTACCACTCTCAAAATAAGTAATTATAACGCAGATATAAACGAGTCCACAGAAAACGACTTTTAGCGCAGTAATATTAAACTTTATTGAACAGCCTCCAGGCGTGGACGATAAAACCAACAACCGAGGATAATAACAAAATTCCGACGCCACGGTGCTGAACCAATAAATAAACAGAGCCGGCGAGAAGCAAAAACCGCGGAACAGCTTTTGAAGCAAAAATTACAATGGTATCGTCTTAATGGCTTTACTGCCGTACAAATGACATCGTCGAGCACAAAGTTCAGTGAAATTAGCGGCCGTTAAATTTCCCTCTAATTGAACAGAAGCCTCTTTATGGTTTAATACAATCTGCTCCGTTCCCCAGCTAATTTCTTCAATTCGGGCCGCGTTAAGGTTAATTCGTTTCACAAATAAGCGATCGGGTCCATTAAAGCTTTGCGCAGGTGTCCGGTGTCCCACGAATCATTGAAACGTGTCGTCGTCCATCGGGGCGATTTCGAGGAGGGTGAGAGGACGGTTAGGTGTATCACCGACGGTTTCTCCTCTTCCAGAGCGAACCCGAGAGCACGCGAACGTATCGTTATTAAATATCCAAACTGCTTCCACGTTAGCGTCGCGTCGCGCGCAATTACACCGGTAATTTAGTTGCGAACGATTCAAGGGATAATTAGTCGTTTGACTGCGGCGACCCGCTCCGCTCCGCTCTGCTCCGCTCAGCACCCGCTCTGCTCCGCTCTGCGAGCGTCAAGCACACTTTCCGCTCATTGTGCGGGTCCGCGGTTAAACCGCGTCAACCGTGCGCAATTTTCGCCTCGTGAACACGACCCGGCCACTGACGTTTCCGATGTTTTTTCCCGTCGCTGCGGATTCAACAAACGACGAAAAATAAAAAAGGGACCAGCCGTCCGGAAAAATATTTGTTCACTTACAATCTACCGCGGCTGCGCAACTGGAAAGTATTTTGCCACTGAATTTCCGGAAAATATAGATTTTATTTTACAATCGAGTGGGTTGGGATCGTAGCGGCGCAGGTCACATTTTCGTAAATTGTTGAAACGTTGAAATGTAATGTACACTACGTGCCAAAATATTAAACAGCCTCGCGGCTCGTTTTTATAGTTGCCGATTGTCAACAGTTATAAAAACACGCTCGAATAATCGTATCTCTTCTTCCAAAATTGTCCAATTTGTTTGCAAGCTGAAAGAAAATTGGGGAGAATTTACAGTAATTATAATGGCATTTCGTATCGAGAAAAGTAGCACGGTTTAATTAATTATAAGCCCGTTCCACACAGATTTTATAAGTCATCTTCTATTTAAAGAAACTCGACATCTCGTTCGCATTTTTGCTATTTTTGCTATTTTTACTATTTTTACCCCACCGAATTTCTACCATCTCGAAACTCCAAAGACTTCCGCAAGGTAAACTGCCGCGGAGAACCGCAACGAAAGTTCGCCGCCGTGTTTTCCGGTGGCATGTAAAAGTATGAGATATCCAAGATCTCGTTCCTTTTTTGGTTCGCGCAACCGCAACTGCGGAATTTGTTTCGCGAACGGCGCGGGCCACGCTTGTTAAAATAATGCTGGTGCTTCATCGGGGATAGAGTTTTTCTCCCGCAGCATTTCGAAATTAGCTTAATGCAATGGCGTAACCTGGCGAAACTTCGGTTGGACGTTGCTGCCGTCGCGGGGCTCGGCCAACAGCCCCGAGGCATTGCTTAGCAATTCGGTAGATGGTAATTTACTTCGTTATAACTTACGATGGAGTTAGTCCCCGAGGCACGGTTAAGTGGAAGTACAATGATGTTGTTAATGCTGTTTCTGAACGCTTCCCGGGCTTTAATTTAACCCCGGATACCAACGGAAATTGATAAAAACATTCGGCGATCTTTTCTTCTTCTTTACAGTTGAATGCGACAATGCTGGTCGACGATAGTATGGTTCCTGATTTCGCTAACTGTTTTATTTGTCGGCTAGTCAATGGCCCTTCGAACGTTTAGAGACATTTTGTAACAAGTTGTTGTTACGTCCAATAATTTAATCGTGTCTTTTGGGATTGTTCTTGAAGAAAGATTTTTATACTATTTTCTCATGTAACAGAATTATCGAGCATCGTGTTGGCACATTATTCTGACGTTTTATTTATTTCATCTATGTATACTGTACAGGTATGATTCCAACAAACACAATTGCACAGTATTTTGAAATTCTTGAAATGTTTATATAATTCAGTATATCTTTGTCAAAAACGCACGAAACCCGCTGTCTAATAATAACGCAACATCGATTGGAGATCAACAATTAATCGATTAAGAAACTCCTTCTCTTGTGATACTCTTACGACTAATCTACGATGTATTTACAATTATCTTATGCTTGATTTATGATTAATTTATGCTGAAATCCACGATGAATTTATCATAAATTCGTTATTAATTTACGATTAATTTATTAGATCATAGATGTCATATAATACATGGAATTTTGTGATCTCATTTAAACTAGATATTCTTTTATTTCCTCTGAGTATATCGATAAAAAGTTGTCTGCTTGAAATTACAGTTATTCATTTGATCTGTCCGAGATGTAACCAGTGATAGAAAATTGTTGCACCCCTGAGAAGTCCTTGTAAAAGGATCAGAGGTCGTCGTCGGAGTCGTGAAACCGTTCGTAGTTCGTCACCGATTTCTGGAAGGTCTCGTAATCCCTCTTTTCATCGTCCTGCCTCAATAATTTTCCTCGCTCCAGGGCGAGGTATATTAGCAGCGGACAGTAGGCAACGTTCATTAAGCCGACGATACCCATCACCCATTGGAAACCAATCCCCTTCACCATTTCGCCACCCAAAATTGGTCCTGGAAGAATAAACCTTCTAATAGAAATTCCTGCACACTCGCACACACACGCGCGCGCGCGCAAGGAAATTGTTCATCCCTATACATTCTTCCCGAAATACTCCGAATTTCCTATCGGCACGATGGTTTCACAAAACTCCTGCAATTTTTCTGTTCGATGCTCTATCGTTGGAATGACCCAAAATTGTTCTAAAAGCATTTTATAGATTTTTCAAGGCACTGAAACCTGTAATTGCTTCATTAGGGGTCTTTCAACCACGTAATTTTATCTAACTAATACTTAAAAAATTCTGTTTTGCATCGCAATATTCTCGGTAACACACTTCTTACTTAATTTTAATATTCTCAAGAAAATTATGATATAATTTTAATATCCTCAAGAGAAAATTATAATATAATTTTAATATCCTCAAGAAAATTATAATATAATTTTAATATCCTCAAGAAAATTATAATATAATTTTAATATCTTCAAGAAAATGGTGACATAATTTTAACATACTCAACAAAATCATAAGTCTCTACTATGCATAATTATGAATAACAGACATCAATGCCTGCAGTGTTCTCATTTTAAGTAAATCTTAATTGTTATATGTGTAATTTCGCAAAATGGCCAATAGAGCGACTTGAAAACGCATTGCTCCAAACGGAAAGCAAAGAGACGCTGCGAAGCAGATTTCCATCGAAATAAAATGGATAAAAGAAGCACGATAAAAAAAGAAAGCAGTTCGCCGACGAGCCTAATATTGTTTAGCGAGAAAATGGCGTACCAAGGGAATAAGCCAAACTGACGGCCACTTGTTGAATCGAGTAAATAGGACCGTAATCGCCATTACGGTCCACCAAACTAGCCAACAGAGGCACTAGAGCAGCATCTGCCACTCCGATACCCAAACCCATTCCCAAATGCGGAACTATTAGCTGCGACATCGTGTTGGCCGATGGAATCAAAATGGCGCTCACGCCGACGACGAACATCGCTAAAACAGCGAGCTTGCTGCGTCCGTATCGATACGTTATCATCCCGAAGAAATTGGTTCCGACTAGATAACCGACGCTGTCCGGGATGAACACGGTGCCCAGTTGCCATTTCTGCCAAACAATTCAGAAATTTCACGATACGCTTTCGAGAATCATTTATTGAAGCATTCGCTACCTTAGGCTTGATGTGGGACCGCAACCATATCGGCAGACAGGGCTCCAAAATGGCCATCGGCGACGTCGAGCACCAAATAGCTCCCACTATTATGAGGACGTGCGGATCGGACAGCAGATGGGTCCACGATGTCTGTTGTTCCTTCAACTGAACATAAAAATTGTTTATGTAATTCATTTTGCAATGGGTTGTTGCGTGATGCACACCTGAACTGGCATTTCGTTGTCCAACGCCAAAATTTGCAAGCCTGGAAAAAACGTGACATTAAACGTCGCCGAAAATTGCAACGAGGTTGACACGACGACACCGCTGCATTGACAGCAAAGTTCGTCGATTCCTTCGATATTAGAAAATTCATTAACTCTATATAATATCGTGTCAGACTCGTCGCAAAGATTCGGAACAAATCTGAATAAGATCAAACAAATCTGAATAAGATCCGTTATCAAAATTTGAACTAAATGTGTGTTGGCAGTTCCGTAAATATAAATTATTTATCTCGTATAGAAATTTATTGCTGGACTGCGAATTCTATGTATTCAAGAGAAAAATGATAACACGGAACCATAAGTAGAAAGAACACCGGAAGATTAGAAGAGCATTGAAGACATGTTTTAAATAATTAATTAAATAATTAAAACTGTTAAGAGCATGGATACGTTCTTATCCAAATCTTATTTCTCAAAATTCATGGAGTAAATTCTGATTTTGCATAAATGAATCCGCGGTCTATTTATTAGCGACGAACAAGTGCCAATCGATTTAACTGTGAAAGAAATCATAGTTCAGGATAATAATAATGGTAATTGATCAGTTTTGCAAGTGAATGCCTGCGGAATAAGTCCGCATGCGAAAGACACGCGTGGAATTCATCGAAAGCAGGTTATCGAACAGAAAGGAGCAATGTAATCGTCGAAAGCAAGTTATTGGACAGCGGGAAGCAAGGTAACTGACTCCGCGGATGAAAAACGCGTACATATGGCGACAACAATGAAGCAAGCGACCAGCAGGAAGGGTGCCATTTTTCCCTCGAGGTCGTAGAGCACCGAGCCAATAGGATATCCGACGAGGACGCCTAATGCAATACTTCCGAGGACGAAGCCCATGATCTTCGACCTTTTGTCCTCTTCAGGGTATTGCGAGGCGACCAGGGACATTCCGGAAACTCCGATACACGCGGACGATATGCCTTGGACACTCCGAGCGAGGAAAAGGACCTCGTACGTTTGTCCAAACGCGAACACTGCGAACAGAAATCAACCAGCCTTTAGACAAATTTCTTCTATGCCTGTTGCGTCACGAAATCTTTATAATTATTATTGGAGTTACTTGAATGACATTCTTCGGCTCTAGGTTTTTAGAACATGAAAATGGCACCATTTGGTTAGCTCGAGGCATTAATTGGATTAATTAGTTCTCAATGAATTACTCCTTTGCGAACGAGGATTTTTTAAAGTTATATTTTTAAATATATTAAAATTAAAATATAATTGAGTTTAATTTGTTAATTTTTTTAAATTTTAACTAATGTACTATCAACGACTTAAATAATGAAAACGTTCTGTTATTTTGCTCACTATCACATGTATCAAGTTCACGATCACGTAGATTACATAAAAATGAACAACCGAATTTTATTACAATTTGTTGTTTAAAGTTACAATGCATAGATTAATGTCCAGATAGTCTGCAATTTTTCCCTGTTAATTTATTCGAATATTTCGTAGTAAAAATACGTTGAATTTAATAAATGATTAGCGTTTAATGAATTCAGCGAATGACGGTGTAGAACGTTTGAAAAATTCAGTGTTCAATTTTTATTCGTGCATTGTTTTGAAATGAAAATATTCAGCTGGAACAGAATCGCGTTTTAAATGAGGATTTCCAAAGCCCGCTGTGCTAAGAAAATTTGCCTTTCATTTTATCGATTACTGTCGCCGTTGTTGTCGTTGCGTCGATGTAATTTGCAGTAGTCAAACTGTGCGGTGCACACGATGCAGTCGCCTGCGCTAAATGAAAAGCAAATACGCGGTGCATTTGCCAGAGGTGTACACGGTGTAGCGGAGGAACGTTGAAATTTTATTAAAATTCGTTACGGATACTAATTTTAAACTCCGCGGCCGAATATACTCGCATTTCATTTATGCGTTTACACGTTCACAGAGGAGTAGCTCGTGTTGTGCGGAGATTAATAACATCCTGGATATCGAAATCGATGAACAGACACGAGGGCAACCCGTTTGTTTTCCGCGGTCCGGAGTTAAATAAATCACTGCACCGATTAACGCGTAACGAATTGAAAGGTTTGTCATAACGTATCGTGATTTCGAATTTGATTTAATGTGCAGCTTTCCAATTATTATTTATAATTATTGTTTACCGTGTTGCGTTTCACGCTTCCGCGATTATTCGCAGTCAAATTACTTTGACTTCGTAACTCGGCGGCAGTGTGGTATAAAAATGTGACGTGACAAGTGTGCTGGTCAATTTCTTTAACGAAATGTTTGAAAAAATTATGTTCATAAGGATATTTTTAATACGAATAATATATCTGTCAATAACGTTATAAAAAGATACAAGGATCCGCGTTACGTATTACTGTTATTATTATCGTCATTTTGTTACTTTTCTTTACAATTAATTAAATCAATTTAAATGCAGCACAAACGAATGCGCTCAATTTCAGACTCAGTTATCCGAGACATTTATGAAACCGTTTCGTACAAGAAAAGTGACTGACACGTGTGTTGCCTTACAAAAATTGTAAGATCGAATTTATTTAAATTTTTCACAATTTTCTGCAACAGCGTGTGCCCGAACAACGAAATATATACTCCACGTTGTTTAAGTTATTCGTTAAGTGATCGATTAAGTTATTCGTTAATTACTCGATTACTTAGTAATCGTAATCATTAACCATAAACATGACTTCACGTTAGCGATAATCGTTGATCATTGATCAGATTTTGCCGAAATCTGGATGATACAACGAACGTCCTATGGACGCAGGTGAATAGGCCGGACGCGTTAATCAAGATTCGCAATCAATTAGCATAACGACACTCGATGCGTTGTCGATGGGGAGATCGGGCACCTATATGCCCCGAAAACAAAAGGCAACTTACGCATGGCAGCCAGCAGGAGACTTATATTTCCAAGGAACAATGGCTTGGTATATCCCAGGGTACCAGTTAACGTGCCCACGGCCGGGTTCAGTATTAATTGTACCAGCGCCTTCGAGCTCAACAATAATCCCACTCGACCGTTCTCGTCCTCCTCGGCGTTTGTCGTCGAATTCCCGTCGATGGTGCAGAGGTAATCGGGAATAATCGGCACTGGAACGTGTAAATTCCCATGGAACGATCTTTGCGCTCTTCGTTGATCGTAGCTTAAAGTCACACAACCGCTTAACGCCGGAATTACCGTCAACGTCGGAGGTGTTAAGAGGCCATCCTAAGAGCCCGATATATCATGGCTAACTTAGCGATCTTTTAACTGCTCGAAACCCTTTATCACGCTTTTCCGTATGCTTTTAGCTGTGTTCGCGGATTTTTCGACTTCGTAGGAAACTTTAATCGGAATTGCCTCTTTACGTGTTTTCAACATATCACCGAAACGAGAACAAATTGAATTCATAGCCATTAAATTCTGCTTAGAATGATTTCGGCTACTAATAACTATTAGAAATGGCCAAAATAGTGTTTGGATACCAATAAACGTTATAAACGACCGAAACAGTTTTTTTATAGAGAAGCATTATAAATGACGAAAATTATTTTTCGATACAAATAATTATCGGTGACAAGAATGTTGACGAAAACAATTTTTAGTTATGATTAACCATTACGGATAACCAGAATTATATATTTAATTACCATCTTATTGGATTTGAAATTGAGTTCTCTGCAAATAAATGTTTACATTCTTTGGTATTTTCATATTAACGCTCGAACAGTGAACCATTTTAACAAAAACGTAACTGAGCAGCTATGCTCAGGATCATTTATCATTTTATTTATTAATTTTCTCAACCTATTTTGTGAGATACTCCTTCTGGACATGTCCTATAGACCTTCTATTCTGTAGATCTATAGACCTTAACGAAGCACGTGAAAATTTAAACTAATTAACTAACTTGAAACTAGGTAGACAAATGGCAATATTATAATAATTATATTTAATTGTCATATCCTCGAAGTAACCTTGACAATTTTGTGTTACAGCGTAGCTTCTGACGATATTTTTAGCCGGGTCCTATGTGACCCGAACACCAGCAGCACAACTTTTTATGAACACCGTAGATGGTTTAATAGACGCGCGCCGCGTTACGAGCTGTTTGCAGTTGTTCAACGAACTTTTTATAACGCTTACGTCAATCAATTGCCGGTGGAAGCGATTCACTGGAATTATGGTCACCGGGTTTTCCTTAACTTTCCTCGGATTTATACTCGTTTCATAGTTTCCGAGCTTCGCGAGCTGCAGTTACGAGAGACTTTTGCGCGCGGAGAGTCTCACGCGTTGATTCTGTTAACTTCTGGCATTTGCGACGGATTTGTCACCATTTAAAATTCCGCAAACGGCGAGAATCTATTCTGAACCTTTTGAACGACGTATACGCAGAATTTTGAGAAAGTTTAAAGTTTTATAACGTTATAAAGTTTGATGATATCTCGCTGTAGAGGGAGATACGATAGAATGTCGTATTCAATTCTCCCTAATTGACGCTCAGATTGTGTACAAAAATGGACAATTTGGGAAGAGGGGATGCAATTATTTCATTTACTTGTTGAAAATCGGTAACTATAAAAGCGAGCTGCAAGGCATGAATAATCATGTCTCCTCTTCCGAAATTGCCCATTTTTGTGCACAATTTGAGCATCAGTTAGGGAGAATTTACTGTATGTTCCATGAAAATCGATTCTAATGCAATTTGAAAATCTATTCTGCTAGACAACAAATTCTTATATAAATTGAAAATCTATTCTCTGCTAGACAACAAATTGTTATATAAATTGGAGATCCATTCTGCTAGACAACAAATTCTTATATAAATTGAAAATCTATTCTCTGCTAGACAACAAATTGTTATATAAATTGGAGATCCATTCTGCTAGACAACAAATTCTTATATAAATTGAAAATCTATTCTCTGCTAGACAACAAATTGTTATATAAATTGAAAATCCATTCTGCTAGACAACAAATTCTTATATAAATTGAAAATCCATTCTGCTAGACAACAAATTCTTATATAAATTGAAAATCTATTCTGCTAGACAACAAATTCTTATATAAATTGAAAATCCATTCTGCTAGACAACAAATTCTTATATAAATTGAAAATCCATTCTGCTAGACAACAAATTCTTATATAAATTGAAAATCCATTCTGCTAGACAACAAATTCTTATATAAATTGAAAATCCATTCTGCTAGACAACAAATTCTTATATAAATTGAAAATCCATTCTGCTAGACAACAAATTCTTATATAAATTGAAAATCCATTCTGCTAGACAACAAATTCTTATATAAATTGAAAATCCATTCTGCTAGACAACAAATTCTTATATAAATTGAAAATCCATTCTGCTAGACAACAAATTCTTATATAAATTGAAAATCCATTCTGCTAGACAACAAATTCTTATATAAATTGAAAATCCATTCTGCTAGACAACAAATTCTTATATAAATTGAAAATCCATTCTGCTAGACAACAAATTCTTATATAAATTGAAAATCCATTCTGCTAGACAACAAATTCTTATATAAATTGAAAATCCATTCTGCTAGACAACAAATTCTTATATAAATTGAAAATCCATTCTGCTAGACAACAAATTCTTATATAAATTGAAAATCCATTCTGCTAGACAACAAATTCTTATATAAATTGAAAATCTATTCTCTGCTAGACAACAAATTCTTATATAAATTGAAAATCTATTCTGCTAGACAACAAATTCTTATATAAATTGAAAATCCATTCTGCTAGGCAACAAATTCTTATATAAATTGAAAATCTATTCTCTGCTAGACAACAAATTCTTATATAAATTGAATAAATTGGAGATCTATTCTGCTAGACAACAAATTCTTATATAAATTGGAGATCCATTCTGCTAGACAACAAATTCTTGTATAAATTGAAAATCCATTCTGCTAGACAACAAATTCTTATATAAATTGAAAATCTATTTTGCTAGACAACAAATTCTTGTATAAATTGGAGATCTATTCTGCTAGACAACAAATTCTTATATAAATTGAAAATCTATTCTGCTAGACAACAAATTCTTATATAAATCGAAAATCTATTCTGTTAGACAACAATCAGGAAACAGATGGGAACAAACATTACCAAACTAGATTATACTAAAAATAATTCACGAAGTAATTAAAACTGAACGATACACTATATAGCAAAGATTATAATAGACCTACGACACCTCAACGCGATAAACAACCCTATCCTAACCAACTCAACCTCTAAAAACGAATGTCATGCAGTTCCTAAAAATCGAAATAAGATTCTGCTCCTCTATCGTTAATGCTTAAACATCGAAGCAAAGTTTGTCATGCAACAAATATATATTTTCTTTCCCGTTTCGATAATTCTTAGTGACAAAAAAGTGCTGATCAACGTAACTGTACAAGAAATCGTAGTGCCAACGGTTAACATCCTGCTTATTTTGCACGTTTGACGTGGATCGGTCAATGGTCACATCGATTTCGCACGGTTATCGTGCACAAACATACGCGGTCTAATAATTACCAACGACGGTGAGCAGCACGTTGTCCAAGAAGAGGCTCAGGTAGACGAGCGCTACGACGATGGTCCGTGAATTCCACGGATTCCCGAGCATCATCAGGACGAACGTCGGGGGATGAGTCCTTAATTAGAAGCAGCCGGTAAGCACGCGTGAGATCACGGCCGGCCGATGGTTCGAAGGGCATGCCTTTTCTTTCCCGTTCGTTCTTCAAGTTCTCCTTGGCCCTGCCATTCCCTCGACAGATTCTTTTGGACGGCCGTTGTTAATTCGGCCGCCGTTGCTCGAATTCCCGATACCAGAAACGGGGGTCCGTCTACGTGACTGGAAACCGTGCCGGTCTAGATCGAGCTTTTATAGCGGTCGAAGCCTTGTCCTTGCGCAGAAGCTTTTTGCGGGATCCGCGAGGAATCAGCCCCGGACACTCTCGAATCTCGGGGTCCTTTCACGTGCCGATGCACCGGGCCGATTTATCGCCGGTTATGGCCGCTTATCGTGGCCAGCCAGCCACCGGTGCCATAGTTATTTTTCACGTGGCCCCATGACGCGGAAATAAAATTGCCCCGACAACCGCGAACGTCTGCTCGGCTCGGTTCCGTTCATCCGACGCGGTTACCTTCCCGCGTAGATTTGCGACAAGAACAATTTCTCGGCTTGCATAATTAATTTCCGTGGGAGGATCGTTATGCGATGGACTTGAAAGCGCGAGAGCTGTCTGAGACGATGAAGGGCGCGCTGGTTTTCTGTGTTGTAATACTGATCTTAAAGTTCGATTGTAATTGTGGAATAAGTTTTCATTTAGATGTCAAGTGTTAGACTTGAAATGACTGCGATTTAATGAGTAAATTGTACGTCGGCATCCATCAGAAACTTGTGATTCGTGGTCGAGGAATAGCAGCATCGTTATCGTTGCATCGGACGAAAATTTACGCGTCGGTTTTGTCTAAAAATCGAGCGAAATCTTTTTGCTCTATGAAAAAATTGAGAATTCGAAAGGCTGGATCCACGGTCCACGGCGTCTTGCACGCTACCGGTTACGGCACTGTCATCGATATTCATCGGCAACATACACCTGTGCCCTGATTGCAGAATTACGATCGACCATAATGCAATTTCGGACGGGAACACGCGAAATTGGTTCTCCGTTCGACGAGTTCTCGCCGCGCAAAAGGGGCCTGCCACCGGTGCACGCCTTCGTTTTCTACTTTAATTACGACGATAATGGCGGACCGAGGCTGCGCGGCCGCCATTTTACGGCACGTGAAATTGAAGGACTTTTCGAATCGAACGGGGAAACGAAGGAACGAAGTTGTTTCAATTCTATGGTGATTTATAGAAACTTGGATTCTTTTAATTGGTTCATTTTTTTAATAAAAATAGTTTGTTTTCGGGCACAGGTAACTTTATACTGATCGCACCAGGCGTATTCAAATTTTTTATTCTTTCATTTTGCTTATTTTTCAATAAAAAACTTTAACGCGTCTTATTCGATAGATACAAAGTTAATTATGCCCGAAAAAGAAACCGAAGGCACAGCAATTGGTCAACTCACAGTTACCGGCTCCGCTACTGATTATTGTAGATCATAGACCCACAGTAACTGGCTCCAGAACTTCTTCTCTCTCTTCTAATATTGAAAGAAAACTTTGATATTTGTTTCTTGGGAAAATTTATATTAACAAAAGAGACTTTGAAATTCACTTTTACGTTCTTAAATGTCAATTAAACTGCCCAGGTTGTTTCTTTTTGTAGCGAAAACTTCTGAGGTCAGCCAACGGGGCACAGTAATTGGTTCCTCTAGGCTAAAGTTGGATCGACTGAAGGATCATTCACGAACAGATCGATGATAAGAGAGAATCGGTGGTATTTTATAGGCCGTGGGAGTTTGTCGAGATGGTACAGCCGATAAAGAGGATGAAGAGAGGGGAGAAAGAAGCCGTTGTACAAACTCGACCTCTCGAACGAAAATTTATTTAATCGGGAACAGAGTTCTCTATGCGGCGCGTGACTACAATGTGAACACCGGCGGATCAAAGTCTCAGAACCGCGTTATCCTGGTCGGCTCGTCCTCTTCGTCCTCCTCGCGTATCGTCGCCTCCACTTGCGTCGATTTCGGACTAGATGGTCTAATCGGATAGGTCTCGTCGTCATGATCGCGGCGGCTGGTTGCGGCGATGCTTTCGACGTGCACGTCCGTCTCGATGCACTCTTTGTTGTCTTTGTTGTCTTTGGTCCTCCGTTTCCGGTGGCATCTTGGACGGGCGTACGCCGAATTCACGTTGCTTCTCTCCACCGGGCTGGTCCTAGACTAGAGACGGTAGTTTCTCAGGCCTTAATGTAATTACTCTACTGGAATTAAATTACAGCTAGATTCAGTTTGTCCTAATCGTGGGTTCACGATTTAGCGTCGTTTAACGCTTTACCGACCAGCGATTCTCTAGTAGCACCGTTCAAGTTGAAATTCAATAATTCCTTAACGTTTTAATCGACAATCATATCTGGGTGTGTCACAATAAATTATCAAAGGACCTGTTTAAACCACATTGCTATCGTTAAAAGTTCAAAAGTTGTTTCATTTTCTCTGTATTCATATTTCTCTTCAACGACGAAGGATTCGATCGACGTTAATTCTCATTTGGCAAACAAGTAAAAACAATTCAGAAAATTGATTTACAGTTCCGGATCGACATAAGCGAAAATATTTGTGCGTTGAGGGGTTGCAAGATTGTTCAAAAGCGACAGCTATTTCATCCATGATTCAACAAATTATTTGAACAACAACTTTGTACAACAACTTGTTCTGAAATTGTTATTTGAAAGAAGATTGTCGAGTTTCTTTTACGTGCAGTCAATTTTTATATTTTATATTAAAATATATGATCGAATAGATAATAAGCATATATAAAAAAATAACATGATCGTAGCAGTAATATATCTCGTATTTTTCGAAAATAGTGCAAAGATTTTTTCCGGTCACTGTGCAGAAAGCTGCGGAACTAGGCTACCAGAAAAATGACCGAAGAATGCGACCGGAGGGGGGCAAAAAAGCGTAGAAAAAATCTCACGTCCCCATCCTCGATGCAGACTTGCGGTATCGTGTAAGAGTTATTCACTTCTCGCATCTCCGTGTTGAATCCGTAGTTATTGTACGCTGGAATCCGTCTTGAATCGGAGCTTCTGTACTGGTTCAGGTACTTCTGGTTCGGACTAGAGTTGCCATAGTAGTTGGGGTACGCGGACGTGACGTTCAAATTCGTCATACTTCCTCCCCCGGCGTGCACGTAATCGTAAAACGGTCGGGACTGTGATGAAAAAAATATTAACAACGACCCCAATAATTGCACATAATTATAGTCTCGAAGTAACATTTATATTGTTACTGATATCTAAACGAGAACTCAACGAAATATCATATTTCTATATTTCTGTTATCTATTATTTTTAATATAAAAATATGATATTTCGTTAAGTAATAACTTTTACTTTGTTACTGATATCTAAACGAGAACTCAACAAAATATCATATTTTTATATTTCTATTATCTATTATTTCTAATATAAAAATATGATATTTCGTTAAATAATAACTTTTACATTGTTACTGATATCTAAACGAGAACTTAACAAAATATCATATTTTTATATTTCTATCATCTATTATTTCTAATATAAAAATATAATATTTCGTTAAGTAATAACTTTTACATTGTTACTGATATCTAAACGAGAACTCAACAAAATATCATATTTTTATATTTCTATTATCTATTATTTCTAATATAAAAATATGATATTTCGTTAAGTAATAACTTTTACATTGTTACTGATATCTAAACGAGAACTTAACAAAATATCATATTTTTATATTTCTATCATCTATTATTTCTAATATAAAAATATAATATTTCGTTAAGTAATAACTTTTACATTGTTACTGATATCTAAACGAGAACTCAACAAAATATCATATTTTTATATTTCTATTATCTATTATTTCTAATATAAAAATATGATATTTCGTTAAGTAATAACTTTTACATTGTTACTGATATCTAAACGAGAACTTAACAAAATATCATATTTTTATATTTCTATCATCTATTATTTCTAATATAAAAATATAATATTTCGTTAAGTAATAACTTTTACATTGTTACTGATATCTAAACGAGAACTCAACAAAATATCATATTTTTATATTTCTATTATCTATTATTTCTAATATAAAAATATGATATTTCGTTAAGTAATAACTTTTACATTGTTACTGATATCTAAACGAGAACTTAACAAAATATCATATTTTTATATTTCTATCATCTATTATTTCTAATATAAAAATATAATATTTCGTTAAGTAATAACTTTTACATTGTTACTGATATCTAAACGAGAACTCAACAAAATATCATATTTTTATATTTCTATTATCTATTATTTCTAATATAAAAATATGATATTTCGTTAAGTAATAACTTTTACATTGTTACTGATATCTAAACGAGAACTTAACAAAATATCATATTTTTATATTTCTATCATCTATTATTTCTAATATAAAAATATAATATTTCGTTAAGTAATAACTTTTACATTGTTACTGATATCTAAACGAGAACCAAAAATACTGTATTTGTATATTTGTATGTTCTATTAATCCTAATGTAGAAATATACAAATACGATTTAAGTTCTTGTTTAAATATCAATAAAAATGTAAAAGTTACTATGAGTCTATAATTATTCACGCCACTCTATTCTTTGGTCCTCATAAATTATTAACGCAGCAGATTATAGTTAATAGATCTAAAAGGGGGTTGTTCGATTCCAAGAGCGATTATTACTGAAAAATGAATTGTTAGGGGTCCAAAAATTGGTTCAAAAAGCGACGTAAAAGTTGATTCAAAAATTTGTACAAGATAATCATTTTTCGAAGATAATAATTGTGTGCTCCAGTTTTCAATAAACGATGATTTTGAAAGTGAATAGACAAAATAACACTAGTATCGTGCGTATAAATGGAAACATATTTTCTGGGGCACTCGTTGACAATCCTGTTCTCGGGGAAATCGCACAAATCGATACGCAATCCGAGGCAGCTTTCTCTAACCCGAAGCCTAAGAAGCGTCTCTCGTAACGCATATGTCTGACTGACCTGTCTGGTGACAGTGTTTATCCTTGGATCGTTAGCGAGGTCGGTCGACCCGAATCGCTGGCCAAACTCCCTGCCCCTAGCCAGATGGGTGACCATGTAGTAAGTCCTGGGTATCAGAACACCGGCGATGATCAGGTAAGCAGTGGCGATGATGCCGGAGGCGACCACCGTGTCCCTGCATTCCGGCTCCACCAGGATGAAACAGGTGAGCCAGATCGCCCAGGTGATCAGTAGACCGATAGAGGTTCCGAAGAAACACTTTCCCTCGCGGTAATTGCGTGGCAACCGGGCGATGAAGAAGCACACCACGAAGAACATCATCAGCAGGAATATGTCGTATCCTGGAAATGATTTTCATTGCCTAATTGCGGTACCTGTTGTTACATTAATCTTCGAAAAATTAACGCAGCGTTACACAAAATTTTATGAAATAATAAAAATTCAGGACATCTTCTTATATAAACATTGTAAAAATGAGAAGTTAATTTTTAATGGAGAGATATATTTCATAAATGTAGTTTATAATTATATCATTACTTGCAACAGACGTTTATTAAATAGTATAAAAATTCAGAAAATTTATAAATGTTTCACAAGCATCGTTAAGATCCATCCAAGCGTTTATTCGTTAATGTTTCTTAAATATAACCTTGAAGAAAATATAGAAGAAAAGATCTCGAGGAAGTCTGCTAATAAAGAAGAAAGCGAACGTACCTAAAAGACCGATGAAAATCAAGCTCCTCATGATAATAGCCGAGTTCGCCGGACCCAGGATGAAAAACATGACCGACATCGCGACTTGCACGCCGAACATGAAGAACACCATCAAAGTCTGAAGATAGCCATTGATGTGCGCGGTAAACACGCCGCCCTTGGAGAACACCAAGAAGAAGGCTCTGGATAGCATCAGCGAGAAATCGATGCCGAACGCGAGCGTGGTCACGAGGATCTTCCTCGAGTTGAGGGCCTCGCCGCCTATGTAGTCGTCGTTCATGCTGAACGGTATCGCCGTCAGCAACGTGAAAACGTTCGCCAGTATCAGCACGATCGTTAGCGTGGGATTCCCGTCGAGAACGTCCTCGACTATGAAACGGTAGATAATGAAGACGGCAATCACGCTGCAGGCGAACGCGCCGCACACCACCACCGTCAGGAAGATTGGGATCCAGTTGCCTGGCTTCAATAAACCCATCTCGAGTGCATCTGTAATGTGCGAGGCTGGTTGCTACATTCTGCAGCGAGTATTTGCCTTTTCTCGCAACACTTTTGGCTGGATTCCTCGGTAGGTTCGACAGATAACGTTTGACATTCCACAATTGATATTCAACAGTTAATAGACAGCAATCGATAGTCGACATTCGACAGTCAACAGTTAACATTCAACATTGAACATTCGACATTCAACATTCAATACTTCACACTTAATATTCAACACTCAATACTTCACACTTAATATTCAACACTCAAAAGTCAACATTCAACGTTCAATGTTCAACATCCAACAGTCAACATTCATCTGTCAACATTCAACTGTCAAAATTCACCTGTCAACATTCAACAGCCAATATTCAACATACATCAAGTAACATTAAACATTCAGCAGTCAATATTCGGCAATCAGCATTCAACAGTCAACAGTCAGCAGTCAGCATTCGGCAATCAACAACCAACATTCAATATTTAACAATCAGCAGTTAACATTCAACAGTCAACAGTCAATATTCAACGGTCAACTATAAACATTCAACATTGAATAGTCAACAGTCAACTATCAACATTCAACAGCCAATATTCAATATTTAACAATCAGCAGTTAACATTCAACAGTCAACAGTCAATATTCAACGGTCAACTATCAACAACCAACATTCAATATTTAACAATCAGCAGTTAACATTCAACAGTCAACAGTCAATATTCAACGGTCAACTATAAACATTCAACATTGAATAGTCAACAGTCAACTATCGACATTCAACAGTCAATGGTCAACATTCATCAATCAACAATAAGCATTCAACAATCAATATTTAACAGTCGACAGTCAGCATTCAACAGTCAATAGTCAGCATTCGATATTCAACGATCAACATTCAATATTTAACATAATATCTAACAATAAATAATATTTGACATTCAACAGTCAAGCTAAACAGTTTCAGATTCGGTTATTCTGAGAGTACAGAGAGTACTAAAACAGTGAACTTTCCAATCTTTCAAGATTTGCCTTGATGTAATTAATAAGCGGTCTATTTACTTCCGATTTATTTCACAATTACAGTTTCACTTAATTCAGTAATTAACCCTCGGATGAACGAAATCGATTATTGTGTACTCTTTGCAACTCGCTGATGAACAAAACCAATTACTTTCTATCGTTCGCCACCCTTGGAAGAGTAAAATCAATTACTCCGTACCCTTCGCAACTCTTGGAGTTGGATATCTCAATTACACTGCACCCTTTGCAACCATTGAAGAAGCAAACCCAATCATACCACAAATGCTCTACTGAATAATATCGAACTATAAAGTGTAATTTCTTGCAAACCTCTAGTCACACCGCGGTGGCCGAACCTCTTCTTGAAGTTCAAGCAATCCTCGCAGTTCTTCGCGTACTTTTTCAAGCAAAGCTTCGGCATCTTGGGCACTCTCGACTCTGGAGTGATCCGGAATTTCATATTCGACGGCTCCACCCTGCAACGATCGACTCGCTTTAAAATGCAATGACTTTATCCACTTTACCCGCATCCAAAAGAAATTCTCTCGTCAATCAATTCCTTCTACAGAAGAGGATTGAAATTTCGTCGATCCTTTACCAAGTATTAAGTTGTTGCAAATGAAATGCTATTTTTGAATTTTTCGATTAAACTTTTATTCAAAGAACTTAATCAATATTTTATTAATAGAATCGTCTCTTTCGACTTCGATACGCTTTTCCGGACATGTGGCAAAAGGGCGTTAATGCCTTTTTGAAAAAAAATGGAAGAACGAGAAGCAATTCTATTATTTTCGTGTTTAATAAAATAAAAATAACTTGATAAATATTTCTTTAATCAAAATTGGAAGAACAAGAAGCAATTCTATTGTTTTCATGTTTAATAAAATAAAAATAACGATAAATATTTCTTTAATCGAAATCGTCTCTTTCGACTTCGATACGCTTTTCCGGACATGGCAAAAGGACGTCAATACCTTCTTGACAAAAAATTGGAAGAACGAAAAGCAATTCTATTGTTTTCATATTTAATAAAAACGATTTCCAATTGGACGTATTATATATACATATAATGGACGTATACAATATTCATAAATATTTTATAAATTATGCACGTAAATCGTGCATAACCTTCGGCGAAGAAAGAAAATCATAACGAAGGGACATTTGAATTGTGAAAATCGCCATTTTACGTGCAACAATCTAACAATTTCATGGTGCCCGTGGATACCGAGCATCGAGTTTGTGACCGTACCCACCTGTAGGCGGCCATGTCGATCAGCTCTTGCTGGCTCTTCATCGCGACGATGTACTTAATCGAGTGCAATTTCGGCAATATCCGCAGAGCATGGTACACCTCGCCGTTGCGAATCTCTTGGCCCGAATTGGGATTGAAGCGAGGCATCACGCAGGCCGTTTCCACTCCTCGGGGACAGTTTCGTTTCTGAAGCTCCTGGAAAGCCTGGGCCAACTCGACCATCCCTTTCCCGACGCCCAGGAGACGGGACGAGTGAATCACCGATTCGCTGGCCGCCTCGACGAAATCGTCCGTCGAGGACGCTTCGTGCAGTAGATTCAGATCGAACGGCGGCGTCCTTATCACGTACGATCCTGGGGGAATTAGCTCTGCAACACGGGCGACGTCACTTCAACCTTTCCTTAAAACGCAACGGAACTCGAACACGTCGATTAAACCAGTGACTACGACCGAGATGTAAAATATCGGAATTCACGGAACTCGGAATCTCTTTGCATTGGTTACGATAGAACCTCATCGGATTCTCAAAGCTGCATCACAGGAGCGAACAGGACTGCAAAAACAAGTTCAGCAAAAATCTTGAATTCTTCGGAAACACCCTGAGCCATTTCACTAATTTGTAATGTTCGTTTTCTCCGAATTATGTTTATTTTATTTCGTATGATTTAAACAGGTTTAGTGTAGCCATAAATAATAATAATAATAACAACAACAACAATAATAATAATAATAATAATAATATATAATAATAATAATAATAATAATAATAATTTTCCTATTATATATACGAAATCTTTATAGAAACTAAAATGTTAAATTATACACATATGTATTTAGAGAGAATTAGTAAAGAAGAGGTAATTGAAAAGAGCTAATTGATTTATGCAATAGTGTTGTGTATCAGTGTTGGATCGATCAATTTATTTCAAAATCGTATTCGAATAATAGAGACTTTAGGTAACGCAGGTTAAAATAATCAAGGTTCTACTGCGTTTAGAATGTATATTAGTATTTGATTGCACTTATTCAAATCATTTAGTAGGATCAGTTTTTTTTACCTCTTTGCACATTGTCTGTGATGATGCGTGGACGATAAAAAAGAGATATGTGATGACTAGACCGCGGATCTTCGTGCATTTATGACAGAAATAAATATACTAGGTGCTCGAAAAATGTCTCGCAATCCGAAATGAGTGGTTGCTGAGGTCATTTGAAGTAACTTTTTTCTTAGCGAAAATTCAATCCGCGGCTTTGTTTAGGAGTTATTAACGAAAAACAGTGACCAATGAGAGGCGAGATCAGCTGACGCGAGTCGGACAAGCCAATGAGCGGAACTGGACTTCGTGCGCTCGTTGGCTAGGCCGCTTCGCGCCAGCCATGCTCGCCTCTTATTGGTCAGTGTTTTTCGTTAATAACTCATAAACAGCGCCGCGGATTGCATTTTCGCTAAGGACAAAGTTACTTTAAATGACTTCAGGAACCCATTATTTCCGGATTGCGACACATTGTTGGGACACACTGTATATTAAATAAACAATAGTTGAATGTATGAAAGAAATTAAAGATACCATTTACATTCCTTGCAACTTATTACAGTTATTGAAAGAGATGTTATTAAGATAACAATTTTCCAGGAGGATTGTAAGAAACAGAAATTAAATAAAAATAAATTGTTCCTTTTAATAAAAAATGGTATAACAATATTACGAATGCACAAAATCCGCAATCCAGTGACCGGATATCGTATAAATTACATAACTTTATTTAATATAGCGAACGCTCGTGCCTTCACATGATCTCATAAATATCCTTGCGGAAATTACGACAGCGATTCATCGATTACGATAAAGTGCGTACAAAACGAAAGTTTCGCGATAATATTAATAGCCCAGAAAAGTTCGAAATTGTTTAAGAACTTTGGAAGTTCACTCGACTCTATAAGAATGGAGCGTTGCTGTCCTAGCTCGAACGCTACGCTTCCTAAATCCATCGTGTGAACCTAAACTGATTTCGATGCACCGACGAGCATAGAAACTCTGCCACGGTAATCCGTTCGAAAACCTAATTTTCTCAATTTCGCCGGGAAACCGGCGTGCATTAAAAGGCGTATCTATCGAAGCAACAAGTGCGAAACACCGGTTTCTCGTGAACGTACGAACAGTATCAACGATGCGGTGCTTAACGACCGCCATCTTGGAAGATCTTCGAGCACCCTTTCCAGCTGTATTTAACCTCGGATGCGTTATTCAATTCGCAAACCGTTTTCTAACGTCTCGTCGTGCTAATCGACGAGCCTTCTAATTTCGGTGGATCGGTTAAAAAAATCAGCGTAGCCTACCTTCGACGTTGGATCCGTCGATCGGCAGAACGATCCAAGTCTTCTTAGGTCCCTGGACCTTCTCCCCCCTCTCGATCCACTGCCGAATCTCGTTCCTGGTGCCAATGACAGCGATCACAGCCTCCGTGTCGTTGTCATCGAGCTCGACGGTGCTCGCGTAATTTTTCACGCAGATCCCAGCCTCCTTTGTGACGTCCAGGAACAGATTCAGCGGATAATCCGTGCCGACCAGTAGGAGATCGATCATTTCGAACCTGGTGGTCAAGTAGTGCACCATCAGGTTGATCAAGGGCCTCGTCAGGTTCTGCTCTTTGTACGTGCTGACCGGGAGCACGCTGTAATTACGAAGCGGCTCGAGGATCGTGGCATAGTCCGACGGCAATAGGATCCCTAGATCGTAATTGTCCACGCAGTCGGTGTCCACTGCCGCTTGCAGCGCTTGTTTGTACACTGTCATTTCGTCGTGGCAGGTGTCGTACACCTTCAAGCCTGTATGCATCGGAAAATTTTTATTTCACGACCCGATCAAGACATTTCGTTATTCGATTTAGGACAAAGCGGCTTCGGTGCACCGATGGCTTCGTTTTGCTGTCCAGACATTGAGATTAAGGTATTAAAAGGTTTAAGGTCCGCTTATATGGCAGAGTCATTTTGTATCGATTTAAGAGAAAGTGCGACAAATATTGTTTTTTTTTTCTGTTAGATGCATGCTTATTTATACAACGCATTTAGGTGTCCGCGAAAAATAAAATATGAAAAACTTGCGAAAAAATATTTTTAGAACAGAAACACGTGTTTAAAATTCCGTGGACATTTTTTGACCCTCCCTCAAGCGTGCTAGGGTTGACAATTTACAATTTGGCAGGCAATATGTCAAGCCTTTGCAATTGCAGCCGTTTTAACTAGAAATCGAAAATAGTTTTTCTAACTTATATGATTTATCGCAGTTTATGCAAACGAAATTGAGACTTGCGACTAACGCAATAACTTTTTAAATATAAAGAAATTCGACAATGTAAAAATTATTTTCGAACATAGTATAACAAGTTTTAGCGGTGTCTCGGAGTCTCGAGTGCAAAGGGTTAGTTTAAGGGTTAAGAATAGTTTTAGTTAATAATAGTTTAAGGGTTAGTATAGTTCCCTGACGCACCTATCGGAAAGCCAGGTACGAATTCGTACTTGTTCAGAGCATGGGCCACGTAGAACGCTGTGGAGACCTCTTCGAGACCTTTCGCTGAAGTGATGTTGCAATAAGGCCCATGATTTATGTCCAAGAATACTGAAATTTAACGACGTTAAATGCCATATGAACGCTTTTTGCCGATTTACCACCGGAACTGTCCCATTACACTTTTCTCATACATAATAATCATTATTTGACAATTATGCAACAGAAAGATTTCATTTTAAGAAACCTTAGAAGATAAATCCTAATTTGCTTAAGCAGAGCTTTTTCTTCAAAAAGTACATTTTTAAGAGATTTTTGTCTGGATTCATCCAATATTGCGACAGAAAATAATCGATGATGGAACAAGAGTGTTATTTCTCAAATAAATGTTTCCTATCAATCGTGTGACATAGTCTGATCCTTTTAGCTTGCGGAAATGTCAATTAGCATAGTCGACCTAAACCAGACTCATAGTTGACAATTGGATAACCATATAATTTCCAAGAAGCATCGAATAAATATCTCAAACAATTAGAGAATAAAATAACTTGCTACTTAATATTTCAAATGATTATTCAAAAAGCGGTCACAGGCATCGAGATAATTATGATCTAAAATACATAGAAACAATTATGAAATAAAGTAATAAATCATTCGAAATATCAAATATCAGATAATGTCGTACCGCGAAAGTGATCACAGCCGTGGAAATATTTCCGTAATAAAAGAACAACTTACTTGAAGTAATATTTCAAATAATGTAATATATATGAAAAATGTGACCACCGACATGGAAATAATTACGAAATAAAATAATACGTCACGCGAGACAACGACACGAACGATGTGGAATAAAAATTCACCAGAGGCGTGGAAATAATTCCGGAATAAAAGGACACGTTATTCGAAATGATATTTCAAACGATGCCGTTTCAAATGTCGTGTGTTCTACCGTACGCAGCGGAACCAAAACGTTCTTACATGACAGAACAGCGTCGCCAGGGACGTCGAAGAGGCTGCGGTTCCTCGGGCACACGGTCTGGTCCTCGAGCGCGAAGATCGCCCAGAGCAGGTTCACAGAGAGCACGAACCTAGCCAGCTTAGTCATTGTGAGGCTGAAAATCGATCGGGCATCAATAAAACATCTGGAACACCGAGCGAGGCGATCACCGGGTAGCTCGGAAAGGCAGCGTGGTCGCTCGGTGTTTAATCGATATCCTCGGCGAAGGGCGTAGAGGGGTCGAGTCCTGTTTCCGCTCGAGTTCCTCTCACTCGATCCCGGAAGTGACGCGCACCATCATTGCGAACCAGCCGAGACGTCTCCAACGGACCCTGTAAAACCCCTCAATCGCGGGTCACCATGTCCCTCTTGGTGGCCCTTGGGGGACCGAGGATCCGTCCGAGGTCCCGAGAAAATGGCGGCGGGCCACGCGGTCACTAATGGCGATCGGCGGCCTGGAGAGCGTGATCTCCGGGATTAATTCCGATCGGATCCATCAAATCGCGTGGTAACCACCACTCCGGGGGCAACAACTATCCCGGGACACGCTCCCCGGCCTCTGTTTACGATTATCGCCGGCTGCATTTCACGTTAATGGCACCGGGATCCTGCAGGACGGTAGGGACCGTGTTCCTCCGCGACGCGATTGATCGCCGCCGACTCCTTAACGTCTCTTCTTCGGGCTGGACGGGACGCAGGGGGGTCTGCACGGCTGTCGGACACCCTTCCTCACGCACTTTCCATGACGATAGGGCATTATTGATTCCGTACCTTGGCTGAGGGGGGGCCGCTTGCGGACACCTGGAGGAATTACGCGGCTACCCTAACCACGAACATTTTATTTCCACGCGAACCGAACACACCAGATCGTTCCTCCAACTTCTTCCTCTATCCGGCTCTATCCTCCGAGTCTCCGGAATTTTTCCGCGGACGAGTTGATCTTTGAACTTTTCAAGCCACCCTTCCCGGTCCCAAGGTGCCGGATGCTAGGTTGAGGGATGAGGTCGCCTGCCGAGGCGGCAGGTCGATCTTCGCTGTTTTATTTTGTCTGCGGAAATTTGTCAGAAAATGCACGTTTAATCCTTGCTGCGTTCAATTATAGTTGCTGTTTCGATTGTAATTATTTCGTAAAAATATTCGCCGCGTGCCTATTGTTTACTTTATTGTTAAAACTAGCTATTAACCCTGTGCAGTCGAAGCTATTTTGATTCCAGAACTCGGACGTTTTGTCTGATCAAGAACGTAGACCCGGCTCGAAATATACGCTGTCTCTTATACACATCTAGATGTGTATAAGAGACAGGTCTACGTTCTTGATCAGACAAAACGTCCGAGTTCTGGAATCAAAATAGCTTCGACTGAGATGTGTATAAGAGACAGGTCTACGTTCTTGATCAGACAAAACGTCCGAGTTCTGGAATCAAAATAGCTTCGACTGAGATGTGTATAAGAGACAGGTCTACGTTCTTGATCAGACAAAACGTCCGAGTTCTGGAATCAAAATAGCTTCGACTGAGATGTGTATAAGAGACAGGTCTACGTTCTTGATCAGACAAAACGTCCGAGTTCTGGAATCAAAATAGCTTCGACTGAGATGTGTATAAGAGACAGGTCTACGTTCTTGATCAGACAAAACGTCCGAGTTCTGGAATCAAAATAGCTTCGACTGAGATGTGTATAAGAGACAGGTCTACGTTCTTGATCAGACAAAACGTCCGAGTTCTGGAATCAAAATAGCTTCGACTGAGATGTGTATAAGAGACAGGTCTACGTTCTTGATCAGACAAAACGTCCGAGTTCTGGAATCAAAATAGCTTCGACTGAGATGTGTATAAGAGACAGGTCTACGTTCTTGATCAGACAAAACGTCCGAGTTCTGGAATCAAAATAGCTTCGACTGAGATGTGTATAAGAGACAGGTCTACGTTCTTGATCAGACAAAACGTCCGAGTTCTGGAATCAAAATAGCTTCGACTGAGATGTGTATAAGAGACAGGTCTACGTTCTTGATCAGACAAAACGTCCGAGTTCTGGAATCAAAATAGCTTCGACTGAGATGTGTATAAGAGACAGGTCTACGTTCTTGATCAGACAAAACGTCCGAGTTCTGGAATCAAAATAGCTTCGACTGAGATGTGTATAAGAGACAGGTCTACGTTCTTGATCAGACAAAACGTCCGAGTTCTGGAATCAAAATAGCTTCGACTGAGATGTGTATAAGAGACAGGTCTACGTTCTTGATCAGACAAAACGTCCGAGTTCTGGAATCAAAATAGCTTCGACTGAGATGTGTATAAGAGACAGGTCTACGTTCTTGATCAGACAAAACGTCCGAGTTCTGGAATCAAAATAGCTTCGACTGAGATGTGTATAAGAGACAGGTCTACGTTCTTGATCAGACAAAACGTCCGAGTTCTGGAATCAAAATAGCTTCGACTGAGATGTGTATAAGAGACAGGTCTACGTTCTTGATCAGACAAAACGTCCGAGTTCTGGAATCAAAATAGCTTCGACTGAGATGTGTATAAGAGACAGGTCTACGTTCTTGATCAGACAAAACGTCCGAGTTCTGGAATCAAAATAGCTTCGACTGAGATGTGTATAAGAGACAGGTCTACGTTCTTGATCAGACAAAACGTCCGAGTTCTGGAATCAAAATAGCTTCGACTGAGATGTGTATAAGAGACAGGTCTACGTTCTTGATCAGACAAAACGTCCGAGTTCTGGAATCAAAATAGCTTCGACTGAGATGTGTATAAGAGACAGCAATTATAGTTGCTGTTTCGATTGTAATTATTTCGTAAAAATATTCGTCGCGTGCCTATTGTTTACTTGAATCTTTATTCCGTTTTAAAAGGAATAACAGATTCTCTTGCTTATACATTATTTCCACCGAGGTGGTTGAAGGATATCTTTTTTTTAATAACGTTTAATAAGAATGATTTCCTATCTTCTCGATTTTTACTATAGTCGTCGTAAAATTCATTCGGTAAATTATATAATACAAAATCTCGGTAAAAACAGCGTGGATGAACATGCGTGAATTTCAATTTTTCTGAGACAATAAAAAGGCTAGTTGGCTAAAGAGAAAATGCATAAGAAGGTTCCGCAAACATTCCAGTTAGTTCTAATAACACAAAAGAGTCGCGTTTTTCAATCATTTTATCCGGCCACGCAACGAGAAATTCAACGCTTGGACCGGCTCGCCCCAACAACCTCAAAAACCTCATAGAACCGAATCAAATAAAAATCGAAAAGTTATGTTGCACGATGTCAATTATTCTGTCAACATTTTTCACGTTCCTCGGATCCTAATAATAACGTTGAGAACGTAATCGATGTCGTGCAATTTAAATTTGCTGAATTTTAACTCGATCGAATGTAATACAATGCTACAATTTTATGTGAAACTCTTGAGGTGGTTGACACAGCAGTCGAAGCGTTAACTATTTCGTGTTTCGCTTGCTCGTTCGTTTAACAAACGCATAAGATCCATAGATTATAATTGTCGTGCGACGTAAACTGTCTTGTAGGATCTATCTTCCTGGGAAACTACTTAGGGGACTGTTGATGTTGGTCTTCGCGTCGCAGCAAGAAAACGGACTTGATCCTCTTTGCAGTAAGTCCCCGGGTTGCTGGCTTTTAAACTTCGGGACGGTGAATGCTCCCTCGGCTGTCACCTTCTTTTCAGGGTCTTCGGTGCCAGTCGACGCGGACTTCATTCACCGCAGCTAGCTGCAGCTTGTACAGAGCTGTTCAGTCCTATCACGATCAATCATTGATACGGACGAAATCCTCTACTTTTACAGTGTTCGAGTCCCTTTGCCGGCTCCTCGAATTCAATTCGGACGGAATCGATATAGTCCTCTTATCCGGTGACTAGTCGGACGTATCGGTATCCGTCGCGATCGGTCATCGATGAATCCCAGTGTCCACTAGCCGAGTGCTTATCTATCCCTTTCCGTTCAATCGGCGCAAAGTGATCGTTAATTGGAGGCAACTTCGGCGCGCATTGGAGTTCGTGGAACTAAGCGTGCGACATAAACTGTTTGGTCGAAGCTATTGTAGTTTTCCCTCGGTATTTGACGACAGTGTTATACGCGGCAGAAGTAAACAACCCTGTCGTTGCGAAAATTGATTAATTTGAACAATCCGCGACGTTTTGCGAGAACCCCGAGATTCTTCGAATAGGATTCTCGGTTTGGTTAACGTTTATATTAGCGACACATGAACTCTATAATGTTATCAGAAACCAGGATGTTTGCATTTTCATTTTTATTATCATTTTATTATTACTGTTATCATTATCGTTACGTTGAACTTTTGCAGAAAAATTGAAAGATCATCCAACCCCTCGATGCTAAATAAATTAAAGTAAATTATATGTTATCGTTATTACTATTATTATTCATAATCCACTTTGGAGAGTCGAAATTTAGTTGTTCAATTTTTCGTGATTAAATTGAACGACTAGATGTTAGATTACGAACGGTTGAAAGGATCTACGAGAGGTATGAATATGTTTAAGAAAAAAGCTCGTTAAACGAAGTCGCGGCATAATTGTGAATAATGTCCGCCATCCAGAGGTTAATGTACCCTGCGACGCGTTAGAAATGGTCGTTTCATGGTTTGGTAGCAAGCCAAATCAAACATTTTGATTACTCCGCCATGCAGAACGTAATTCCGGCAAGAATTTATTAGACGACTCGGTTGCATTATCGCAGAGCCCGCGACCAAATTCCGCCCGATAAAAATCCCGCTTTTTGCAAACGTTTCATTAATTTATCCGGCTATAATATTGCTCGCGCTACGACCATTATTTGGTTACCGGCCAAGCCAATAACTCCCATAATCCGCCCGAGTCCGTGAAAGCGCATCGATTCTGGTAGGTTGAATGCTAGAGGATTCTACTAACGATTCCAACAACAAGAAATGTCGTCGACTATTCGCACAGAAACTTTTCTAATTCTAAACGATCATCTGGGACTACGAACGAACAACGAGTGACCAAAAAATGCTCAGTTTCCGGGAACTTCGAATCTATAAAAATCGAAGATTCTCCGAAACATCGAACAAGCTAGACAATCCAACTTTCGGAAGCTACGAACCCGCAAAGGTCCAGAGAGATTGAATCTCGAGGCTGTCAATATCAGCGACTGGTCTCGAAACTAGCAGCGACTGCTCCGGTGGCCGTCTGAGGCCACTTTCGGGTGCCGGACGGCCGGCGGCGTGCGCCTGGAATCGGCCAGAGTCCAGGAGCCGACGCGGACTCGCGGTCCCCTTCGAAACTGGTTCGCACTATAGTCCCCACTGTCGACGAATCGTCGCACGTCCGCGATTATGTCCTCGAGGTGGTGAACACGAGTTGCTCGACGCGGCTGGCCGCGGTTCGGTGCCACGACTGAGGAACAATGGAGTGCGTTTTCGGCGCGGCGTGCTGCGGTATGAAAGTTTCATGACCGCGGGCGAAGGGAGCAGCTGCCGGCAACACACTGCACACGACAGTGACCACCACGGAAGCCATAGTTCTGGCCCTCCCCCTTTTTTAAACGTATTACGCGTACGGTCACGTTGCGTTCTGCAGCCATTTAAGCGGAGCGCACACGCGATCTAATTGACAGCCCGGGGGCTAGTTTCTTGACGGGCCGGACTTCTTTCCTCCGCGATCGCGATCTTTCCGCTGCCGATTCTCCGCGATTCTCCCTGATAGCCCGCGCGATTCGACGCGGCGCGCCGCGCAGTGCGTCGATCAGGGACAAAAATAAGAAATCAACTTACGTAAAAGGCAGCAAGAAAATCTATAGGCAGGCTCGTTAAACAGTATTCGAATGAATGTGTGTGTATGTATGTGTGTTGCAGGAATGAACGAGCGTCGATCATTTAGGGAGGGTAGTTTGCCTGACAGTAGTCGTTTCAGTCAACGCACGGCTTCGAAGCGATGTTGATTCATCGTTACAGACAGATTTTCATTCTCTTGTCGTCAACGGGGCACGCGCGTATAAATCGCGAAACCTTAGAATTTGATTTTTCTCACCGAATTCTCTCTAACTCGTCGCACCGCGCCGGCGCACGGTCTATCTCGAGAACACGAAGCATCTTCGTCCCCTCTAAATGTTTGTAAACGCCGCTGAGAAAAATCGCGAGCGCGAATGGAAGAAGACTTAGGATCGTTTGCGGCGGATCGACGGGATCGTTTGCGGCGATGATCGAACGCGACAGCCCGCGACGATTTCCGTCGCTTTCTCGCTCTTTCTTCTTCTAATGAGAGGATAACCCAGTTCCGGATCTGTGTCAGCGTTCCGTTTCGTTGAAATCGATGCGAACGACGCGACGGACGCCTAAGACCTTCGGTTTTCATTTCGCGGCGGGGAGCATAATCGTTTTTGGCAGTTCGATAGATCGTAACGGGAGATTCAAGTGTTCCCGAGGATCGTTTCTCGCGTTTTTGTTGCTCAAGCTTTGTTGCCTCCCTCCCCCCCCCCCCCCCCCCC